AGTCTTCTGGCGTAGCTGGTTTGCGTCTCGTTTTTTGCTGTGCCGATCTTAATTCCCAAGTCTGCCATTCTGGCGAGTGATGTGGATTCACTGCCACCAAAGTCCTCTATCCTTCCCATTTCTCTGAGGGCATTGATAATATCAGCATGATCCATAGGCTGACCGTCGGTAGTGATAGCGGATCCAGCCAACCTGTCAGCTCTTTCATTTCCATCGACGCCTGCGTGTCCCGGAACAAAAATAAAGGTGACTCCACGAACAGTGGACTTTGCTATGAAGAGGTATGGGAATCACAGCCTATGGCGATGGCGAATGTAACCAGCAAGACCCGCCCGCTTTCGGAAAAGTTTTCCACAATTATAGAAAGTGATTTCAGGACCGTTGTTGCCATAATTAGTCTATAGTGTATTTTTTCTCAGACTCTCAGTTCTCATTCTTTCAGCAATAGTTTTTTTTTTTTTTTCTGCTTTCATTCTCATTCCCTTTCTTGTCTGCCCCTCCGCGCAACACGACCTGTAGTATCCCCTCCCCCTTTCTTTTTTTCCACGAATCCACGTTAAAACATTTATCATTCATTTCCCGCTGGCATACCTTTTTAAATTAACAGAAGTAATAATGAAATAATGTATGACAACTGTGAGGACTGTGTGTTAGACCAATACTTTTATTGTAACAGCATATACTATCGGCAAATATCATGCAATTATTCGCTAACATATTTGTCTCGTGTGAGAGACGTTCTGTGCAAGACGATAGGTGTTTTAAATCTTAGACTTGATTTGGGAGTTTTCGGAATCGTTTAAGTCATATTCAATCAGAAAGAGCGTGGGTTATTGTAAATTTCGTCGATTTGACAACAATGGGTGGCAAGAGACCACTTTGTATTTCATTTCAGTTTATTAATTTGCATGCTTCATTATATATTGTTATAACTTCCGAGTAAGGCACCTGACGAGATACAGCGAAATATTCCTGGCAATAAATTGTTCAATGTATTGTTTATATCCGCATTATTTGAATTTGTAAAGTAAAAAATATGTTAAACAATTATATTAACACAGTTGCTAAATGTTTATTGCAAGGGAAGTCCTGTTCAAAAATATGTTTGAAATCATAGTTTTGAGACGCTCTGCTGAGGGAGGTGTTTGTAATAAACACATAAATCAACATATATATAATGTCGCGTCTGGTTCAGTTGCTGAAATATAGATAACTTAAGCTCCAATCTTTATTTAAAATTCCTTATATAGAAACGTTTCCTGTGAAGTCAGAGTGCGTCTGATTGTGAAGCGAGAAACCAACTATATGTTCACAAATAAGCCAGATTGCTGACACGCAAGACTCAAATTGTGGAACAAGGCAAAAGTAAAGAAGTGGATTAAACAACAGGAAAGTTCCACCGGAGTTTACAGTCGGTAAACGCGAATAAAACTGATATAGAATCGTTTGAGTTATTAAACAAATATCTGACATAATCTGGGCATATAATTCGAGACGAGTGGGAACAGGATTTTTCCAAATTATATCCTGAACATCTAATGGCCGAATGTCCTAGTTGCTATGTTATCTTATCACACTCGACGACACTGCACACTGGGTATTCCCATGCCTGCTCAGTCGTCTGAGTGCTAATGTTTCACTTGTACAGAAACAGTTCAGATCCCCTTTCACTCCAGTGGCGCATCGGACATATGAGATTGAACTCATTTTAGTATAGACCAATCGACCCTCAAAGGGAGATGTGGTCAATATCAGGCCGGTAGCCTTTACTTTCCATAGCAGATTTTAGGCTGGATCGACCTGGGAGCCAGTCATATTGGGGAGGAGGGGGGGGGGAGAACGGAGACAATATGCCGTTCCAAACCAACGTCCTTCGGATCCGCAAGTGAGCGTTTAACCGCTACTCCGCGTTTCTTTACGAGTTACCTTCACCCTGACCACGTTCACGCGACAAGTGTGCCTGCGGAGGTCGTGGTGGGGTCATAAACAGCCTGTAAAACATGAGAATTACCACAAAATCAATGGTCATATCGGCAAGGAGCGACCACCATTCGTCCATTCTGTTGCCTTCTTTTACTGAATGAAAATACTAACCGTTCATGCAATTATTTTTTTTTTTTCATGTCATCATAAAAAAGAAATGCGACCTTCGCGCGAACGAACCTAACGGAACCGACAGAAGAGTTCACAACATTAGGACTGGAAAACACCAAGAGGCAGTGAAAGACAAGAGAAGAAAATCGACTACATGAATCACTGAAAGTCTAAGAAATCACACCAACAGAGCGCACCCCCGGGCTCGATGAGCTATTGAATGTTGATCAACCGCGAGGTTCAGTGGTGCCAAGTAGAAACTGACACTGGAAGACTTAAGAGAAAGATTGCAGCATTATTCCCTTAATCTCAAAAGCCATTTACTGCTGTCGGTTAATAATGAACAGACCTACCAGTGCCCAAATTAAAAAAGAGGTCACCATACATAACATTTTGGTAGCATCATCAATGGCCCAGGTGGGTGCAATTGGAACGGCAGCATTCATAGCTGAACTCCAATACCGAGTATTCGTTTACTTAAAAATATACTGTCCATGTAATGTCGTTTTCACAACATGTAGGGTTTCAATCGCTTCACGTCCCATTACATGTAAGCATTACTCTGACACAGTCTGAATCGTGCCTTTTCCTGCATGATTGTAATATTGTTTGCCTATACGGTCTCTTTACTATACTAATGACATTATCAATAAACATGTGCAGTTTATTAGACGCAAGTAAATGTTTACTGAAAAAAAAAAAAGCAAAGCCTGTCTTCATTAAGCTACACGATATATACCAGCATTGGGCGTGGCTTCTCTTCTCTAGGCCAACATATAGTTTAGGCTGGGTTTATCACGCTAAGGTTTACTAACTACTAACATGTGCTGTCTTCATCAGACTAAGGATTATACCAGCATTAGGCATCAGTTCTCTTCCCTAGGCCAAGCATTGAACTAATAATCAGCATGGACAGTCTTCACTAGGCAAATAGTTAGGCTAACAATAAATACGGGTCGTTTTCCTCAGGCTTATAGTTATATGAACTAAAAGCCCGGTTTTTCTTATGTTAAAATCACCTGGAGTGAATGACAACAAATGTAGATTATTGGTTATAAAAAATCGCATTTACAAAAACAAAGCGGTAACGAAAATAATTTTAACGATAAATTAACTTCTGTTAGAAAGAATTAGGTTATTATATCCATAATGCAGCTTCTATTATGGTTCTAGAGATTGTTTGATTTGGATGTAAATGTCGCTAGTGTAGAATGAACTCAACTTAAAAACCGCTAAAATATTGAAATATAGTCGAATACGTTTAGCCGTGATCGCTCGTATACAGCATACTCATCTAAGCACGTTTGTTTAAAGTTCGATTCTCTGAAATCATGAAGACATGGAATCTGAAGGAAAAACATATATTGATTACCTATGTAGGGAAAAAAAAAAGAGTACAAAACATCGGTCGACTAGAATCAATCCCACTGGTAACCAGACTATTATATAACAGAAGCTACCAAGTGATAATGATGTCTCGAAAATTGTTTAATTCAGTCTCTCTAACTATAGAGACTGTATATAGTTGACTTCAGTCTGTCCAGCGACAGAGACACGTTGACTATAATCTGCTTCAATCTGTCAAGTGGCAGAGATACCTCGACTATTGTCTATTGCAATCTATAAAGCGACAGAGATATCTCGACTAATGTCAACTTCAGTTTATCAGACGATAGACAACCTCGACACTTGTCTAGTCTGTCAAGCGACAGAGACACTTTAATTAAAATCTACTTCAATCTATCAAGCGACAGAGACACCTCGACTAACGTGTACCTCAATTTATCAAACGACAAAGAGCCTAGACCTTATTAACTCCAGTCTGTCAAGGAACAGTGACACCTCGACTAAAGTCTACTTCAATCTCTCAAGCGACAGACAGACACTTCGACAAAAGTCGACTTTAATTTATTAGGCGACAGAGACTAGTCGACTAAAAGTCTACTTCAGTTTATCAAACGACAAAGAACCTCGACCTTAGTTTCCTCCAGTCTGTCAAGAAACAGAGTCATCTCGGCTAAAGTCTACTTCAGTAAGTCAAGCGATAGAGAGTCACCGTGACTAGTCTATAATATAATATCCCCTGGGTTGGCAACAACATCACCACTGTATCCCACATAAGAGCCTCATAAGTGCTAAATATAACAAGGACTCCAACACTAAAACAAAATAGTAGCTATTAATACTACACTGGTAATAAACGTTAAAGAGCTATGATCACATTTGAACGCATCTTTTTTTTTTTTTTTTTTAATAAATAGGAGGTGTCTGCAACACCATAAATATAGTCTACAACAAAATATTAAGGATGCTGTACTAACAATACTGATAAAAACAACAGGGACTAATTCCTATTGATACTAATGCAGATATACTAAATATTATTAAATACTATTCTCAGTGAAGAATCCTTTGGCTGAAAGTAATCCTAGCTTAGTGGTAAACCCGCAGTAACACTTTAGTTGCTAGGGGAAAGCTCACCCAGCAGACAGCCAACCGGGTTATGCCGATACAACAAGCACAGACTGAACTCCTACAGAGACTAAGCAACTATAATAAATGCTATTCTCAGTGAAGAATCCTTTGGCTAAAAGTAATCCTAGCTTAGTGGTAAACCCGCAGTAACACTTTAGTTGCTAGGGGAAAGCTCACCCAGCAGACAGCCAACAGGGTTACGCCGATACAACAAGCACGACTGAACTCCTACAGAGACTAAGCAACTATAATAAATGCTATTCTCACCGAAGAACCCTTTGGCTGAAAGTAATCTTAGCCTAGTGAAGGACCCGCAGTAACACTTTAGTTAGTGTGGGGAAAAGCTCATCTGGTAGACAGCCAAAAGTGTTATGACACCACCAGAAGATGATGAGTTTGACAAAAAAGGATGTAAAGATTGTGGGCTCTGACTACTTTAAATTCAGGAGGCAGGCCTGGCTTCCTTCGATCTGCCTTCTTTGACTGCAACCATCAATGAAACAAAAGCAATTACAATAGTTTCCGTGCTTGGGTAGGTATTCAGTTACTGCTGATGGACTTAGTTGGTCAACAGTCTGGTCCGCTTGGGGCACGTATTGGTGACAGTAAGGCGATCTTTCTACACAGTTTTCAGTAAATGTAGTAGAAAGACAAGGATAGTTAATAGACATGTGTTCGCCTGTAACATCCTTATGAATATACGGGTTATACTGAGTAGATAATAAAGAGTGTGACTGGGAGCCGTGTTGTTGATAAATGGAAGAGCATTGATCTGCATGTGGTGTTTGAGAAATGAGATAGTCGTGATTCTCTAAAACCTGTGGGTCTTTGCAAACCTGGTAAGGACAAGAGGAATTGGTATCATCGATAGCTGGGATCCTTTCAAGTCTGTGTCGCAGTAGGCTTTGGTAATGTTGAATATCGTCCTCCTGTACCCTCTGTTTATCTGAATGGGCACATTTCGTATTTTTATACTGATCCCTGTCATGGATCCTTCTGTGGTTTAAGTACATGTGGGGATTTGGAGATCGGCGTTCACTTTTGGAACAAGGAAAGTTCGATGAAAATGTTTCTGTGTGTTTAAAAGATGCTGGCCATTCAGTTTTATCTGCTAAATACTTTGTTGGAGTGAAGTTTGTATTCTGTGCTGTAATGTCCATAGTCTTTCTCGGACCAGACAACATCAAAGAGGCATGAGAACCACCGTCAACTTCAGCTGAATCTGTACCCTCATCTCGCAACCTTTGCATTCGACCATGAATTCTCTCTTCGCATCTTTCTCGTGATTTGTGATGCTTAATGGAGAAATCTGGCTGGAAATAGTTACCATGCGGGCCGTATATATTTTCTGTGGTATCACATAAACATGGCTTATTTTCCGATAAGTAGCCCATTTCTGATCCAGGAAGATTTACGGCCATCAACTTCAACGTTTGTTTGTTGTAAAGTTTGCGATTTCCCAAGTTCTGAGCTGAATGCAAGCAACGCGTCTCTGGGGATGCTATTTCAGAGAACGACATCCAAGGAGAACATCGTTCACTCGGGTGATATTCATCCAGTTCCAGATCCTTGTTCTCCAAAGTTAATTTGTGTTGCTGTGACCCAGTCCACTGCCCTGAATTATAGCTGTGCTTAATATCGTCATGGTTCTTTGAAGTAAATACGTGCGGGTCATGAGAAAAAGACACCTGTGAGGTCTGACTACTGGGATGTGCTCTACGGTGCAAACACGAAATCTTGGGTTGAAGCGCGGATGCGCAAATTTCAGTACCATTTCGATATTGGAAAGGTCTCTCTACAGAGTTAAAATACAAGTACGGAGAAAGTGCAGCAGAATCTGGTCGGGAAATAGCCAAAGGGTGATGGTCAAAGGATGTGGCTAATGTGCGGTGATGGTCAGAGGATGTGGCTACTGTGCGGTGATGGTCAAGGGATTGGGCTTCTGTGCGGTAATAATTACCATCTGACATATTGGTAGACATCGTCAAATTCTGGAGTTTGTGAGGCGCAACGACTGAACCTGGTAAACAAGGCTTAGGTTCGGAAGAGCAGACTTTCGATATGGGCGCATGCGCGTAGCAGGAACACGAAGCAAAGCAACAGTCAGAACAACAACGGGTGGACTGTGTATGTGGGAGTCCTGGAGAGTCTTGAGCCGCAGAGATGAGATCTGCCGTATCGTCCATCCCTTCCAGCACGACCTGACGATCACTGACATTTGTGCACTGTCTGAACTTTCGGTCATGTTCTCGCATCTGGCCAGGTGGTATGCTGGATAACGCCGTAAACTGAAACGTTAGTGTAGCCAGATTAAATTACCCCTAAAGTAAACTAACAGAAGGTTAACAAAATAATACCAGCTAGTGTGGTCAGAGAAGGGTTCCAATATCCAGTGCGGGGAAAAAAGGAGGGGGGGGGGGGGGGGGGGGGAGATGGAAATCAGTTGTGTAGAGGGACGTAATTAAATCTCATAATCTACACAGTTAGTGGTTACTGCCAGATGTTAACCCATATGTGCCTGTACCTAAGGACTCAGTTACCTTGAGCTCCCATTAAAAATTGTAGGTGGAGGGGGGAGGGGTGGTTACTCTTAGCCACCCCAGGCCATAATGTTAGAGTGCGCACTCTCCCTCCACCCGCAACCTTCCGACAGTACAAAACCGTTCACAAGTTTACGCATTTCAAATTATTTCAAATTTACTGTTATATTTATTTACAATTTAGCATAAAATAGCAACACCTATTATTAATATTATTACTACTCAATTAAACAAGGCTTAGGCCTCTTGAGCCTTCTCTCCGCCCCTATAATATAAGCTGGGCGTGTCTAAGACGCCCCCCGCCCCTACTCCCATGCCCAACATTTTTTATTTGTGGCCTTATTTACACAACATCAGCATTGAGTACCGAGTGGCGTAGAAACATACGCCGCTACCACTATATGCTGAGGAAGCCGCCGTTGTGTAGCGTCCAGACGTTCACATGTGGATCCGAAGATCGTGGGTTTAAATCCCAAGGAAGCTGGATATTTTTGAAAAATGTGGAAAGTAAACGGGGACCGGCATGATGTTTACCACATCTCTAAGAGAGTGATGTTAAAAAAAAAAAAAAAAAACGGTCAAGAATCGCATACTGAGACTTGACTATTTTCAAACATGACCTTGGCTCCAGGCTGACCTGACCTTGAACTGGTACCAGGTAAAAGTCCTGGGAAGTAAAGGAGCTCGGCGTGGTGCTGACCACATCATCCACCAAGTGCTGATTGGTCTATCAAATATAGGACTCTCCCTATATGCCCTACACCCCAAACGGCGTGGACAAGGGTCCTTTTACTCCATCTGAAGACATGGAAAGGAGTCCTTTACTTTACTATACGCCGAAGGCATTGAAACAAATCCTTCTTAATACACATTTTAGCACATAGCTTATATAGGAGTCGTGCTGACAAAGAACATAGCAACACAAAAACTGAGACCTAAGGAGAGAGAGAGAGAGAGAGAGAGAGAGAGAGAGAGAGAGAGAGAGAGAGAGAGAGAGAGAGAGAGAAAGAGAAAGAGAGAGAGAGAGAGGGAGAGAGAGACAGCGAGACAGAAAGAAATACAGATGGAGAGATAGAATAACGCATAATTCACATACACTCACACACACAAACACACAATAACATTAAAAAACACACACACCCACACACAAAGTGTACAAGTAGAGTCCATGCTATTTACACCTCTTGAGCAGAATTATTTATCAGTCTGGACGAAAGTGGTCTTTTGGGCGCCAATAACTGCCCTAATCAAGAAATAGTTTCTCTATTCTGACTTGTGACACTCCTAGCAGTCGAAGGTTACGGAGACATTTACTCTAGAGCGTTCAGTTCCGGAATATAACTTTAGTCAGAGTTGTCACATAATTATAGAGAGCGTCTAGTTCCGGAATATAACTTTAGTCATAGTTGTCACATAATTATAGAGAGCGTCTAGTTGCGGAATATAACTTTAGTCAGAGGTGTCACATAATTATAGAGAGTGTGTAGTTCCGAAATATAACTTTAGTCAGAGTTGTCACATGATTATAGAGAGCGTGTTGTTCCGAAATATAACTTTAGTCAGAGTTGTCACATAATTATAGAGAGTGTGTAGTTCCGAAATATAACTTTAGTCAGAGTTGTCACATGATTATAGAGAGTGTGTAGTTCCGAAATATAACTTTAGTCAGAGTTGTCACATGATTATAGAATAATCAGAAGGATTCTCAGAAAACCACTGGCCAAAAAGGAAAAGAAATAAGGACATCCTGAAATATCTAAACAGCAAGGAAGCTAGGCTAGTAAACAGCATCCTGTCCCGGAAACTGGAATATTTTGGCCATATTAAGCGTCACAGCGGTTTGGAAACAATAATTACAGAATGGTACCAGGAAAGAAAGGCAGAGGCCGACCAGGGTAAAGATGGGTACAGGATATATGTGACATATAAGGTAGGAACGTGCACGATTTTGGAGAGCTAATGCGGGACCGCGTTTCTTTCAGGTAGTCAGTGATGAGAGCGACGTTCTGCAAAGGACCAACTACATGATGAAATATAAATCATAAACTCTCATTTGGAATGACATAGAAAGAGCAAAACAGGTTTTTTTTTTGAATATTATAAAAAAAAAAAAAAAAAAACGTTCCACTTACCGTTCTGACAGTTCCCTTTGTGGCTTCAGCCTCATCCGCACCAGCACTATAGCAGTTTCTCTTTCTTGTATGATTCTCTCGAATCTGATCATATTCCCTAACTCCTGAGTAAGTCATTTGATTCTTGTGAGTAATTTCCATTCTTGGCAGAGTCTCTGGAATCTGACCGTGGCTTGTAAAATTTGGGAAAGTCAGCCTAGCCAGGCCAGAATTCTCCGATCTCGAAGTAGTCTCTGAAATAAGGTCAGGTATCCCCAATCTTGAAAGAATCTTTTCACCCTGGCTAGAAACTAGGTCAGGATTCCTCGCTCTTGAAAATGTCGCACTGGTCACATGACTGTCATCCTCTCTTGGGCTTATTGTGTGGAGGTGGTCTTCTTCGTGTGACAGGGCTTGTGGAATGACGCCACGATATCCCTCTACAGAAGCATCAGCCTGGTGTAGGCCATGATACTCAACCCGGGCAAGTTCAGCAGGGACCCGGCTACGATATCCCATACGTGGCGTGCCTGTCTGTTCTGACGAGGTGGCTACTCTAGCCAAGTCATCGTCTGCCACATCTGAAGAAGATTTTTGGACTAGGCATACCTCCCTCTCTCCTAAAGTAGAGTGGTGATCAGCATCGCAATCTTCCACTCTTGAAGAGGTCTCACTCCCCACTGCAGTTTTTATCTCTAAATGAGATGTGTTCGCTGGAATATCTTCTACTGTAGAATGGACCTCCTGAACCAGGCCATCAAGTGAAGGAGATTCCTGCGTGATATTTTGTTCCTGAGTCCAGGTCACCGTGGCAGGTCCACCATCAGCAGCCTGACCTGTGTTGACTCCACGTTTGCCGTCACGAATTTTTACGTGAAGTTTCTTACATTTAACGTGAATCTTCAACGGCTGCCTCGTCGCATTCTGGTCATAGGCAAAGAAGCATAGCTCAGTTAATTTGAAACGAAGCTTCTAAAATGTAACTCTGTTTCTCCTTTGCTATTTATGTATGTATGTGTGTGTGTGTGTGTATGTGTATGTATGTGTGTGTATGTTTGCGTATGTGTGTGTGTGTGCGTGTGTCCATGTGCGTGTGTGTGTGTGTGTGTGTGTGTGTGTGTGTGTGTGTGTGTATTACGGAGTGAGAAGAGGGTCTAGACTATTGTCTACATGCAATGGGCGGACGAACGTTTCAACATGTTACAACTGATATCATAGTATGGGAACTACTCGCTGGCCACCGAAGACAGGACAGGAGCATTGTGGGAATGTCCTGCGTACAGTAATGCCAGTTCTTGATTCATTCATTCATTATTTCAGTCGTTCATTCATTCATTCGTTCACCTAATGAATCTAGAACGCATACAGAAAAATCGTATTAGCAGAGGACTCTTTTGAAGCCATTTACACATTTAGCGTTTATAGCTAGGCCATATATGTTCATAGACTAGCTGCTACTCAATGGATGAGGTGCTCCACCTTATGTCGACCGAATTTACTTTTTATGATATTCCCTGCTAAGCAGTTTAAAGTGGGCCGACCTGGGAGTCAAGGGACACACAGGGTAAAAATCAAATAACAGCAGTGTAACTAATGGGGCATGTGGTAACTGTTCTGCGTACATGCCATTTATCTCACACCGGCTGCTGCTTGGGATGTTTGACACCCTGAGATAGACAGGAATAAGACAGATATGAGATAGACAAGTAAAAGACAGATATGATAGACAAGAATGAGACAGATATGAGATAGGCAAGAATATGATAAGTTTGAGACAGACAAGGCTGTAAGAGATATGAGATAGAGAATAATAATTCAGATTTGAAATAGACAAAAAAAAAAAAAAATGAGACAGACATGATCTAGACAGGGACGAGACAGGTAGAAGCTTAGAGAAGAATGAGATAAATCTGAGACATGCAAGAATGAGCCAGGTCTGAGATAGACAGTAATGAAACATACAGATCCTATATCGACAAGACTGAGACAGACAAGAGTGAGATAGACAAGAGTGAGACAGACAAGACTGAGACAGATAGTTCTGTAATGTGTAAGGATAGACAAGACTGAAATTGTCAGATGTGAGACAGTCAAAATAAGGACAGTCAGATTTGAGATAGATAAGAAGCAGAGATACCTAAGTAAGATAGACAAGAATGTGAAAGTTCCGATGTAGCCAAAAACGAGACTGACAAATCTATGACAGGTTACAGTGAGACTGATCTGTGACAGACAGGAATGAGACAAACAGATCTGAAATTTAGAGAATGGGTCAGAAAGATCTGAGAGAAACAAGACTGAGACTGTCAGCTCTGAGAAAGACAACAACGAGACACAAAAAGCATTGGTGTATTATACTCTCGTAAATGAAACCTTATCTGGAAGCTGCTGAGATGCGGTTTTACAGATGAATGATGAGAATACATTGGACAGATACCAAGAGTAACGAAGACGTCTTGAAAGAAACTGGCTCACGAAGAGAAATGAATGCCCACATCAGAAAGAGACAAACTACATACTCTGGTCATGTGATGAGAAGGAGAAAACAAGTACATCTTGACGATAGGAAAGTTGGAGGGGAGAAGAGGCAGAGGGAGACCGACAGAACAGATACTGGACGGTCTGACATCATGGCATGGAAGATCATCTGTGTCAGAGTTGATTGAAAGTTTACGAGACAGAAGGCTGTGGACAATCATGACTACCAACGCTACAGGGCAGGAAAACAAAACTAAACATCAGGACAACACTAAAGAATATCACTTTAGAACTTACCACCATAGTTTCTCTCAACATTTTCATTTGATTCTCCAGAGCTGCTATACGGGTTTTGTGCATCCGAACTTTAGGCTTGACATTCACTGTTTCAGCGCTTGATTTGGCCAGGCTTTTTGTACCACCTGCCAAAGCGTATCAACAAAATCTAACATCTCCAAAATCATTATACTCCTTGGTAGAAAGACCAATAATGATTAGGGCAATGAACGTAATTATTGTAACTTACACAGTTCGAAAATAATTACCATGTAAATCGAAACAAACTCATCTTGATCTTCTGAAACCTTTCGGTTTCAAGATATATACTGGCCGGTCCAGTTGCGTACATTTTATATTAGGTGATTAACGGGATTCAGTTTGTTCCCTCTATCTATCGTGACCAGAATAAAAGAAAAAGGTGTGAACCTTGCTAGGGAAAAAACAGCATACGAATAGATCTCACGAGGACCCCAACATAAGTGAACAGAATTCACAAAACGATGAGCTGCTACTGCTTCTGTACCCATTTGATGTTCCACTAGGAATGTGTTCACACTGTGTGTTACAATTTACTGTTTCGTATTCTGGCCATTTAGCAATTCTTGACGAAGATTATTATACTTGGAACGTTGGATGTATGTAACATACTTATTAGCCATTTTCTTAGTCGTTTATATAATATATATATATATATATATATATATATATATATATATATATATATATATATATATATATATATATATATTAATAAAGCGTATAAAGCTTTCTTTACGTTGACATTATCTGAAACACATATGCAAAATCAACGCTAGTGAGTTTAAATGCTACATCCGGGCGGGAAATAGTCCGAGATTGAGTGAGAGAGGATGCAAAAGGTCATTCTGAAAACAACACACCGTGTTTGTGCATCTCGTTAGAAATAACAACGTTATAACATTTATATAACTATATTTAAGAAATGAGGCGGAAGAGCTGGCCAGAAACCGAGTTTCTTTCAGACAGACCGTGATGAGAGCGACGTTCTTCAAAGGACCTGCGACATGAGGATGTTAATGATATCTAAGAAATGCAAAGGGTGCACGCTCGACGGTAAGTGATGAAAACTGCTCTGTGGAAGTCAGTGGCCAGACAGGCGCACTATTTGACTAAAAAAAACTCTTCATTTCTTTAGGTTTTTGGAATGTTGGAATTATCGCAAAGCCAACAAAATCCGCCCAGGTAGAAACTGTAAAACGACTGGAGACAGGCCATATGTTGTAGACTGGATTCCATCCAGGATAGAAGTGAATGGAGAGGTACCCACCATACAAGCCTTATCTTACACATAACGGCACAACCGGACAGTGTTGATATGTAAGAAAATTGATACGATAGCAAGTGTAACTAATAATTTGTCTTATTGAAGACATTGTATATTCGCACTAAAAAAAAAGAAGTTGTGGAAATGGGAGTGTGCAGTACAATTCCATAGAGTTATGAACAACCGATAGTTCCTCTCCATATCACTTGATGGCAGAGAAGGAGAGGGATAATAATTGTCAATTTTCATAAGGGGGAAGAGGCCTAGAAGGAGACCAAGGAGAAATATGTAAAACATTTTAACGACATGACATAAAACAACACCTGTTTCACAAATGGTGGACAGTGCACTTGGCAACTGCTGTGGGCAGACATGTTTAACAACGTTAAAAAGCAAGGACTTTGAGAAGAGTATTTTTCGGCAGTAAAGGGCTTCCACATCCACAAGAAATGACAGTAGCAATTGCTGCCTATCCAGCAATGGATCATAAATTGTTCCTCCCAACGCCGCTTAATGGCAGAGGACGAAATTAATGAAGATGATGATACTTCTTGCCCTGACACGAGGCATTCCAGGAGTAGAGAAAAGAAGAAGGAGATGACACTTCTCTATTCATCAATGAAATATATAATGTCGGCTGTAATTTCTGATAATCTGCTCTGGTGTCCTTTGAGGTAAGTACACGCGTTTGTGTGTGTGTTGTTTGTTTCCAAACTTAACTTGTTATGCTGAGGTTAAAAATTTTAGAAAAACATAATTTCGAGACTGCGTAACTCCGTTAGTACTTTCATTTTAACTCACCTCACACACAGGGGGCCTCTGAATCCCCAGGAAAGTCCAATATTATGGGTGTGTTAGGGTTAAGGTTAGCGTTAGTGTTAATCGGTGTTCATTTCAAAACGTAACACCCCTATAACATTGGACTTTCCCAGGGACTGATTAGGGTGAGCGATTATGAAAGTCAATGCCAAACGTGGACACTTACACCCTCCAATGCACGTAAAATTGTGACAACAGAGATGAAATGCCTTAGAAGAGCGGCAGGAGTTTCAAGGAAAGACAGAATACGAAATCGTGAAATCAGACGAATGCTGGGAATAAAGCCAGTCTTACAGGTCATCAAAGAACAAAAAATGAAGTGGTTTGGACACCTTATAAGAATACCCTGGTACTATCTGCCACAGCGAGCCACACTAAAACGTTACAACGGATATAAAACGAGTGGAAGACCTCGGAAAATATGGAGTGATGGCATTAAAGACAGCCTTACAGAAATGAACATCAGTCTTAATAGTGCTCTTGACAGAGCTCATCAACGAACATTACATCTCCCCCTGACACTTCGATGAGGTACACGGTGGAAGAGAATAATAATAAGAAGAAGATAATGAAAGTACCGTTTTGTCTAACTAAAAAGTAACCTATTCAAAGAGACACAGACACATACATACATTGTAATAACCAAAACCTTTCATTTATTTTGAAGGTATATAGAATTGTCAAACAGTTTTATAAATTAAGAGTGAGAAAAGTTGAAAAAAAAAAAATTATAACACTATGTATGGTGTTGCGTTGCCTGCCGATTATTATGTTCAAATTTTGTTTAAGCAAAATTGTCACACTGCAGCCGATAAAGTAATGTGTATTCACACACAGTTTAGAAAGCTCTGGCCTACAGTATCGTTATCTTTCATGTTGTTATTGTCAAGTCCAGATGCGGTAGAGATCTCTTTCCTTTTTGTGCAATGACTAGACATATTAGAATACCATAGATCAAGAAAAAAAAAAGGAACCCACATTCGTCATAATCTAAATATCCAGGAGAATTGGTTCATAAACAGCATCCTGAGCCGAGAGCTGAGGTGTTTTGGCCATGTTAAGCGTCATGATCACATGGAGAGAACAGTGATGGAGGGTACTGTTTCCAGAAAATGAGGCAAAAGCAGACTTCTGAGAATTTGAATGGATACAAGAAAATGCATTGGCTATGAAAGCACATAGGGTTGGAGAAAATCGCATACAGAAAGAAATATTTTCAGTCGTGAAATGAGCAACGTTCTGTACAAGATTAGACTGATGATGAAGACACTGAAACTCTCATTCTCTCTGTACAAGTTTATTACCATACTTTTAATAAGTATTCTATGTATGATACTATCACCATCATCAAGTGCCTTAGGAGATCATGCCTCTCCTCAATCCGCGACTCCCAATATCAGATGGTGTGCTGACACCCCTTTCAGACATAACAAAAGGCTGCCAAGAATCTTCTTCTGCTGTTTTTTCCTGTCTCCCTTTCCACGGATCTTTCCAGTGGTCACAGGATGTTCAAGTTTCCCCTCTTATCATAGTATGGTGAACAAATGACAACTGTCTCTTTCTGGTGGTTGTGATAAGTTGTCTTCGAGCTCTTGCCTCCTTTAAACATTTGTGCCTCTCGTCATAGCTGCTCAAAGAATTCTAAGGATTCTTCTGTAAAACCCACATTTCCAAGGCCTCGGGATATTGTTAGGCTTGTTCATTAACTGTCCAGGATTCACAATCGTTTGTTTAAACCTGCTGTATTTATCATATGGAGACAATAAACTGACTAATATTCTTTAACTTGTATCATTTTTGCCCCAGTTAAAATTCTAACTGATCCTGTTCTGTGTTTATCCTATTTTAATTTATTGAGTACAATTTTCTGGAAAAAAAAAAAAAAACAATCTGAAAATATTGCGTGCCAAGAGAAGTGTATGGCTGAGGGATCGGTATTTCACTTTATAATTTGCCGGAAGTGAACTTGAACCTCTGTAAGGCGTATCATGTTTTTCTATAGGATATGAGGGAGGGTGCGGGGTGGGGGCGGTGGGGAGGGGGAACTTCTGATTCATACACAAAATGCCTTCTTAATTAGCATGATAGCCTCTCTTTCTGAGTTTTTACCACTTTAGCAGTGTACTCTTTGAGCCGCGCTGTCGCCACGCACTGTCCATGTTCGGATTTTATGTTCGCCCCTGACAGAAATATCCCCGACCTTACCTAAGATTGAAACCCTGGTCTTCCGCATGACAGCTTTGCGTTCTTAAGTTTTCCGCCAGTCGCAGTTGGAAATCGAAAAAAGTCGCCTAACGGCGCAGCCCAGGCAAAAATTGGAGTTGAAAATCCACCCACAAATATGCCAGGATCCTCGCCGAAGCTACGAAGCTCGTGCACTGTGCTGAGATTCTTTAGACTCAGACTTGAGTTAGAAGAAGAACGGCGCACTTAGGGGATACTACCCGTGTGCCATGATGTTGATCCGTTGTTTATAGTTCATAGCTTGCCAGCCGCTGCCCTCTTTCATCACCACCCCGTGTAAAACAAAAACGTGGTGTCATGTTAAACTCTTTCACGTGTTGTCTCCAGGGCTGAAAATGATGGTTTTTAAGCCCCAGATTTGGGTTTTTATCTGACGCCTTCGTTTTAAATTTTGAAATCTAGGTTTTCAACCCCCAAAAAAAAAAAAATATATCCTTATATAAAAGTGGGTAAATGTTTCGTGTCGTTATTATAAAATTCGAACTTTTTAACAAAGTTTTTTTTTTTTTTTTTTTTTTTGGTTTTTTTGCCTATATATATTGCTTGGGTTTTGTTTACCTTAGCTAGGTTGTTTTTTTTTTTTTTTTTTTCAAGAAAAAAAAAAAAAAAAAGCAAAAAAAAAAAAAAAAACACCTATTGGCAGCCCTGGTTGTCTACACACAAGTGAGGCTTCGCGGGAATGGATCTACCAAACACTCTCGCCATATTTTGTTTT